TTCGAAGATTTGGTTACCACTTTAAAAATACCCGTAGGTAAGTCTTCCTTTAAGATGAAGGTTAGAGACATCTTCAGAGAAACGCGCATCAAGCATACGTCAGGTAAAGAAGCCCGCGAATGGCTTGCAGGGCCTAACATGCGGTATTGGCCGCAGCAGTTAAACTTTGCTGTCTGGGCTGCGACGAAAGGATGCGGAGTAGCCATGGATATGCTGCATATTCCATTTTTGAGATTTCATGTTGCTTTTACCATCCGCAGAATATTGTTTGAACTAGGAGCATCTCTTCCTAGTGATACTGTCTTTAACGCGAAGGATAATAAGTATGATAAAGTCGCATGGGAGCGTTTAAAAAATGAATTCAACCTAACGAATCCTGACTTTCGTAATAAAGAAGGTGCTGCACACGGACTCGGAGAAACTTACACCTACACTGCATACATCGGAGCCAGCATAGAAAGGGCCGGAATGGGATACCCCAGCAGATGGGAATTCTCTGACCTTGGTGGAAAAGCATCGAAGGGTACTTTGATTTACTTTATTGAAAGCAAAGAAACCCATCCATGGGCACCATTCGTTGCTGCGAAAGGAATTGGTTTAAAGAATTTAGCGAGAATTAACCGCAGCATTGAAGCCTTCGTTTACTGCGTTCTAGGTGCGCAAGTTAGTACCCGCAGTCCTATCGTAAGTGCCTCTGGGGCATCGAAAGAAACRCAGCAAGTATTCCTTGTTCTCTTCGACGGCGCTATTGTTGAGAATGAAATCTCGAAGTCAGTGCAGAGATATCAATTAGCGGTGCAGCAGTCTAAAGTGAGGTTGGATTATGCCTTGAGTCCTGGTTGTTGGTTAATGCCCAGCAATTTAGTCATAAACGTTGATTCCGTCGTGGGTTACAACAACAAACTTCAACGAGCTACTAAGGATATGAAGTTTGGTGTGAATGACGTGAACTCTGACACCCTCAGGAATATCCCACATTTCGTGGAGAAGCCAAAAAAAGTGCACGAAACAAAGCCTGCCGTACATGAAAGACCTAAGAAAGCACCTGTAAAGCCCGTGAGGTTACCTAAGAAAGAAGAGGAATCTGACCATGCCTTATTGAAAGCCGGCTTGGCAGCTGCAAGTGTTGGTCTGAGTTATTATATATGGCGATGAACAACCCCTACGTAACTGGAGTAGATTGTGTTTATACAGCTTATACAGGTGAGAAAGTATACGACCAACCATCTTGGGTTGACGTTACCGGAATGTCCGTAGACTTGAACTACTCGGGGAAGAAGTTAATACTTTGTAGCTTTTGCATTGGTACGGCGAGTAATGCAAACGTTGGATTTCGTTTTTGTGATGACAATGGAGCATTACAACCTATGCGCACAAAGACGAACAATAGAGAGCCCACGCATTTCTCAGTAGAGCCGCCCTACACCAGCCCCGAAAATTTATCGGTTTGGACTTTTCACATGGTTGCTGATTGCCATGGAAAGGTAAAGTTACAAATACGCGTAGATGACACCGGAAGCGTTTGTGTGAATAGCATAGACGACCAAAGAGATGCAACTTATAATCATGCGACCATTAGCACTCTTACGGTGCTTAGTCTTTAGAAGCAAATTTATTCACTAAGGATATATGAATTCGCATATTCACTACTTAGACGTGAAGGAGTATGAAGGACATGAGTGGTTCGATATGGGAATGTGGGTTAAAGTTGGAGGACCCGCGTTAGTCATTTGCACCATTTCTATTAACACTGGAGCGAGTGCTAACGTGGGGTTTAGGCTCGTTGATGAGAATGAAGAGCCTTTACTCCCCTATCGAACTTCCTTGAACAGCAGAAGAGCGGTTCACTTTTCGATGGAGCCAATTAGGATTAGCACAGAGGACTTAACGCCGGTTACGTTTCATATGATAGTTAATTGTAAATATGCTAAGTTGCAAATATTTCCCGATGATGCTACTAGCAATGGGTCAATACTGGGTAACGTAAGAATAAATAGCATTGGCACAGGCAGCAACATTGCCGATGCAGCTTGGAGCCATAAGCCCATTTCTACTATGAGTGTGCTGCCGCTAGCCCCAAATTATCAGGGCGGCGCGAATACTATCTTTACTTATCCCAAGTCGAGAACACCTCGGGCGACCGACGACGATAAGCCACCAGTAATACACAAGGATAAGATTAAGCCTTCATCTTCTTCA